CCAAATCTTGCACTATAAGCACATGAATTTGGAACAAAACGGCACGTGCGTTAATGAATGCGACTTAACCCGGCAGGCGGTGGGCCTACCAGCCACCTTCCGCGCGGTGGGGGGGGGGGGGGGCATTTTTTGCCCCCCCCCCGTATCTCCGAAACTATTGGACGGATCCAGAAAATTCAAACGGCGTTCGATAGCCCTGTCAAATTTGTCGAGCGAAACCAAATTTCATTGACCTCGGGGTCACCGATGACGTCACAGGTCAGGTCAAAGATAAAATGTTTCACCGTTCACGGGGCTTCTAGGGAAAGCGCTATAACACCGAGTAAAACGCATTTTGTCGAAAATCAGCGAGAAGGCGTCAGTTGTCTAGTACATATGTTGCTATTAGAGGTCACTGGTCATACCAGGTCAGGTCACAGGTCAGGTCACCAAAGGTCACCAAGGGTCACCACATGAGCCCAACTTTACTAAGGTTATGCGATGCATGTTTTATGGCCAGTTTTTCATTTCCAACTCACTGGTGTTGGTTATAAGACCATCAGGTAAGGTTTAGGTCACTTTCTGGTGAGGGTCAGGTCAAGGTCAGGTCAAAAAAGGTCAAATTTCAAAGTTGATATTTTTGCATAAAATGGGCATCGATTCGATGCAGCTCCGTCACGGGGAGTCTAATGGTGGTCTTTGTTTTGCGCTACGAGGTCTATAATTGCTAAAAATTGAGTTTGAAAATTTGACGTCATCAATTTTGAACAGTTTTTTCGCTATAACTTGGCCAAAAAAGAGGTATCGATCTCAAATTTGGTATGTAGATAGAAGGCGGTAGGGACTATCACATATATTCCGTTTTTTCGAAATTCAAAAAACTTTTTGGATTTTTTGGCTATTATGTTAAAAAAATCTATTTTTTTATTTTTGGGGGTCAAAATCCGAAAAATTCGAAAAAAACCGAAATAGCAGTTTTGTAGCCCTTTTGATTCCACACCTTTTATGTCTTAAACATTTTTCTGTATCTCTAAAGCTGTAGGCCTGACAGCTCTTCCCGCGAAACCTTTTTTTTTGGTCGAAAATGGCAAAAATGACGTCACTCTGACGTCATTAGCGGCCAGCCTATCATAGCCTTTGGAAAAATTTTTGGTCACCATGTGCGCTAGCTGCTCCCGGGAGGGTACTGAAAGTTTGGTGACGATCGGCGCAGCGGTTCTCGAGATATATTGAAAAAACTGAAGGGGGGGGGGGCAAAAAAATGCCCCCCCCCCCACCGCCTGGAAGGTTAATTTCCGTAGTATCTTTTTTCTGGACACCCTGTATAAGGATATCACCGGGCCCTAAGAAATGAAAACTTGACGAAAGGAAAGCTGATGAGTGCATGACTTCGTGAATCGTGGTCGTAACTCGTAATCGAGTTTCGTAGAAGTTCACCGATTTGTAAATCTTGCTTGCGTTCAAAAGTTCTCTCATTTCTCAATAGCGTCTTGGACGCTGGTCTTGATCACATGTCGCTATTTATTTATCATAGCAGGATAAATCACCAAACGTGTCTTGATACGCTGGTTCGGTTCATTCATTTTCCTTTCAGAGTGTCAAAAACAATCACGTGACTTGGAGGCTCGAGACTTGAAAAATCGAACAATAAATTGTGATGTTCTTGCCGGACAAAGTTGAAACTGTTCCATCTGAATGCCAATAAAATGCAAAATAAAATGCAGGATACCATCAAATTTGAAATATCACTGAAAGATATCAGGTGCATCAGAAGCACCATTTTCTTCTCAGTCTTGTAATATATAATAGATACATCAAAAAGCTTAAAATGTGCCTTAATTTTGCAATGATTCAGTGCAACGTAAAACACGTCTGCCCCGTTCAGCTGCTGATCTAAAACATCAAAAGGATAAAATATAAAAAAGATATCTGTTCGTTTTTGTTTGGTAAGGTCCGGTATCATCAATACAACAACGTAACTGTGACCATATTTGGTGAAATGTAAAAGTTTGCTTTTGCAACGGAAATCCAAACTTTTAGACTTGATCAAAACGTCCAACCAAATCTGGTTGTCATTCTCTATAAATTATACGAGGATGAGCGGAAAGCATTTTAATGAAACATTCTAGGGACACTGGATGGCGTGCTGCGATAAGAGGGATGTGTCCCATTACTGACAGGATGTGCCACTGCAGGTGACAGAAACTGCCCCGTATAGGGGCAGGTTATGTCAGATGAAGCATCAGATGACGCATAAGCGACTCTAGCGTCAAACCCAATTGAGATGCAACCGGAACACCTATGAAGCATTTGAAGCTCTTGCTGTAGTGTAGAAGATATAGGTATCAGAAAAGTATCAAACACCAGCTGTTGAAAGTGCGCGCCAGAGCCAATTTGGTAAAGAGTGGCATTGTATGCCCCACTCTCCCCTGCTACCTGATTGATGTGTAGAATTGATTGTTCTCTAAACTGGTATCAATTCTAAATTTTTATGGGACAATTTCAAAAATTACTTACCATTTAACTACAAAAAAGGTGATTGCGGCCAAGGACTGCGGCCACCATATCATGTCAATGGGGAATAACGTTTTTTTTTTTGTCACTTGTGTGTCTTCAAGTTTCAACTAAACCGTTCTCGAAGCCAGTAGCTACTGGGTGATTCATGTCATGGGTAGAATTTGTTGAGCTTTTTGTCTTGTTTATGCTTTTATGAAATAATTCAATAAAAAACTAAATTTAACACGCCAACGGCTCCCACGCTCATGCGTCATGCTGATGCACGCTATCGTAGTACACGGCGTCGCATATGCTGCTGGCTTCCTGGCCGCGAAGTGTGCGCGCACCGACCCATCCCTCGGTGTGCGCACCACCAACGCCGATGAAGAGGATGTTCCCAGCGACGCACGCTGGGTCACTCTTCTAAGTCGTGGCGGCCTGACTGTGCCCTCCCGTCAGTGGCTCGGGCCTCGGCGTCTTTCGGGAGATGGACGCTCACTTGACGTTCTGCGCGCTGCACCAGGGCTGCAGGGCAAGGGCCGGCCGCGTCGTAACGAAGGCCACCAGGTGGACAACCTGTCGCGTGAGCCTGTCGTCGGCGCACGGTCTTGCCGAACACCAGATTAGCGCGAGTTTTAATGAAAAAAGATACACAAAAAACGTAATTTCCCAATGACATGATATGGCGGCCGCAATTCTTGGCCGCAATCAACTCTTTATGTAGTTTAAATGGTGAGTTATTTTTGACATCGTCCGATAAAATTTAAAATAGATCCCATTTTTAAAGAACAATCAATTCTACACATAATCAGATAGTATCTTTGAGAAAATCTGAGGAGTATAGGTGTGAAAAGAGAAACAAATAAAAATGCACCATTTTCCCATAGACTTCGTATTGGCCCCAAAATCGCTTGGATCCAGAATTTCTGGCGGTGCACTCTCCACAACTGCACGTGCGCTGCGCTCAAAAATTACCATGTGACTAAATTCACTAAATTCAGATGGGATCACCGTCGGTCACCGTTATCTCGCCGCCTTGATCTCGCCGTGCCGTTTCATAAAACCGCAGCGGGGATTGTTTACAACTCCGTAACTAAACACAACTGTGTACTTGCCGTAAATTATCAAGCGTTCTTTGAATTACAATTTCATGTCAATACTTATTTTGTTACGAATGGTTATAAAGCAAACAAGCTACGTAAAGGTAGGAAAAATATTTGTGAAAACATATCGTTTTGGTGATTATATTTATAAGAATAGATTTATCGATGACAGCATACAGCCAGGCAAGCAGAAGTTGTGGCGCGGCGAAGACATAAACAAGGCCAAGGCCAACCAAGGCCAGCCCAGGGCGATAAATACGTATGGATAGGGCCAGCCTATGGATAGAAGCGATTGTTGAGGAGGTCTTCGTTGAGCGACTGGTGTGAGGTAAACTTGAGGTTACTCCAGTTTTTTTTTAAGCTTTTGTATCTTCTTAGAATAAGTTATTAAAGCAAGACATGTCTAGAAGGTTACAGAGAAATGCAAAGCTGCCGATTTTTAGAATGCTTTTGGACAAGAAGGAGGTGAGTGGTTTGGTGTAAGACATTTGCTCATCATTTTGGAGTCTAGGTACTGTAGGTAGGTACAATTTAACAATATCTACCTACGCATAAATATTACAATCATACAAGTCAAACGGCTTTGCTCAGGGATATTGCTTTTTGAGGAAAATAGGGGATAGTGATGACATTGCGATATGGAATCTAGCTTTTGGTGAAGTTAATGATGTTTTCTCAAGTTCTATATTATATATGTTAAATGTCATGCTATTCCTACCTCAAATGGGTACTTTTTCTCTGGTTATTTTGATGGTTTTAACCCGCGCCGGGCCGGTGCTCCGAGACTTTCGCGCCGGGCCGGGGGGGGGGGGGGCTGTCTGAACACTTCTAAATCGGCTCCTGGGTCACGTAGCGACACGCGGTAAGCGGCAATCGAAAGAACGTCCAAAATAAGGACGAAAACACTTCGGTCATTTTTTGGGTCAGGTCAAAGATCAGGTCACCAGAGGTCACCAAAGGTAAAATGTTGACTATTTCAACATTTTGGAAACTGCCGACGGCTATCTCGGGAACCGATAGAGCTACAGCGCCGCTGAATAGCGTATTCGATAGCCCTTTTACAGACCTTTCTGAGTTTTGTTCTCAGATTTGACCTCAGGTCAACGGTTTAGCCTCCAGAGGGCAAAAACTCCAAAAATAGCCGTTTTTACGAAAAGTGGTTTTTCGGCAATAACTTGTGACTCGAAAGAGGCATGACATTACTTTTTCCAGCATCGTGTTCCTCTCGTCGAGACGCGTCGAATGAACTATAATTTGACCTTGAAAGGTCAACTTGAAAATTTGACCTCAGGTCAAGGTATCCTGACCGGAAAAGTCAGGATACCTGACCGATTTGACCTGACCGGAAAAGGTCATGTTGCATATCAGTCGATCCGCAACGTCGAGCCGAACACATCTAAGGTGTTTTCATCGCTCTAGTACGCCTCTATCAGAAGTTATTAGCGAAAAACTGTTAGATTCTGTTCGTGACCTGAGATGACCTCAGGGACATAGCGAGGGGTCACGGTTGCCATTTTCTGGTTCAGTGTGTCAATTTTACCTACATCTCGATGTTTGAGAGTGTCTAGAATAGCGTTCGTGCAAAACAGACGCTTTTCAATTTTCACCCATTGACTTATACCTAATGGAGAGGCCACAAAATTGACCTGACCTTAGGTCACCGATATAAAAATTCCGAGATATATATTTTATAGATAATGTTACCCTCATCAATCGCTGAAAGTTTCAAGGCAATCGTTCAGTCGGTGAGGTCACTTGGCGTGACCTGGTGACCTGACCTAAGGCGACCTGGGTCTGAAATTTTCACAAAATGTGCGGAAAAGATGCACGAACAGGTATGTCAAAAAGCGCCGCCGTTTTTGAGATATCTGCGAAAAACCGCAAGGGGGGTGTTCAAACACACCCCCCCCGGCCCGGCGCGGGTTAAGTTCAATGACCCATGTTGTAAGATTATTGAGGGCTCTGCCATGATTTGAAGGTAGATGCTGTTAGCCTCAATACCATGTTACAATGCTCATTGGTTGTTTGATGTGCGGTAATACAATACCATTTGCCTTCTGTACGCCATCAACCTTATCATTTAAATTAATTGATTAGCTACAGTTGGCGTTGGATGGGTGTTTAATGAATTTTCAATCTATTTTGGTTTCACTTTTCTACGAAGTGATGGACCTAATACAAAGTGGCTTAGCTTCAAGCACATCATATAGCACATCATACATCATACACCTAATATCACATTTCACATTCTTTCAACAGGTCCTTAGTGGGAGACTTCAGGGGGCGACCGCAAAGCAAGAGAGGGCCGCAGCATGGAGGGAGGTGCTGCAGCTGGCCAAATCGCTAGGGTTCGCGGACGATGCAACCTCTGCTCGCAGTTTCAAAAAGGCATTTGTTGGTAATGTCGTCCGTGCCAGCAGAGGTAGGCATAGGCGATATTTTGCCACATGTTGATTGGCTTTGTTTTCACTATTAGCAATATTTATTTGCTAGGAGGGCCTGGACCGGTGCTTTATGTTTATGTTTTAATGTCTAATCTAAGTTTGTTCGTTATTTACATTGGCTACATTTTATGAAATGATTAAAATCTTACTTGTATGTATTGGTTATCTGTGTTCTTTCAAGCATTGTAAGTTATTTTTATACCTTCTCTTACATCGTTATTTGAAAATATATAAGCATGACCTTTCCTCTATATTGAATAAAAAAGTGCCGAAAATGTACTTTATTGATAGAAAATATGTGATATTTCGGCCACTGGCCTTTGTCGAACATATATAATCAAGATAAACAATAGTTTCGTTTCGCCGCATCGCGTTCCAACTGCCTCTACAAAATTACGTACTTCAGTTCGTGACAAAATCGATATCGTACCACTGTAACAAAGTATTATAATTCTGTTGAAAGGTGACAACTCTATCTATGAGTACACAGGTTTAGATACACCTACCGGCCAATAACAATACCTATAATCAGGTTTAGATACCTTCATAAAGCTAGAAAATCATGACAAAGGCCTTAGACCGAAAGAAAGTAAGGACAGTTTAAGACGAAATTGTCCTAACATCTGTGAAGACCGCGTGTGGAAGGTGAGTCTATACAAATCAAATGAAAACAAGCACATCAATAAACAATCCAAATAACTCGCACATATCTCAAAGCAGTACGCACAACACATATACACACATGTACAATGTGCATACATATAATTTCACAGGATAGGCCATGACGAGTCGTTACTGTTTAGATGTGGGCGGTGGTTCCTGATCATCAAAGACTCGGCTATTTTTCGATCCGGGTGGTCCTTAGACCTGTACATGACTTTCACAGTGAGAGGTACTTTGCCATCTACTGAAATATTACAGTGGGAGGCCTGGAAATGCTCTCCCATGGGAGTTTTATTCAATATCGAGGAAAGGTCATGCTTATATATTTTCAAATAACTATTACAATGTTCCTCGCACAAGCACTTAACTCCTTCTCTTACATCAGTTATTTTAATTGCTTTATTTTTGCTTTCTTTTCATATGGCTCAATTGCTATTCAAATATTAGCAAACAGTTGCGTTGTGCTAAGCCTCTTTATTCTCCCTATGCTACATTTATTATAATTTTGTATTTGTATTTTGCAGTGCTAAACCAGGCATTATTTGATAAGCACTTGTTTAGTTCAGTTTTTTTTATATATTGAAATATCTGTTGTTTGGTATTATTAGACTAATTCTAATGACAACAAATCCTGATATGTGGTGGAACTACTGGGGCATTCCACGATAGATCGTACCAGGCCCGTCACCCTCATCCCTCAGATTTGAATGAAAATTGGTACTAGGGGTAATCATAGGCTCCAAAAACACCTGCCAAAATATCAGACTTCTCAGATGAAAACTTTTTGAGTTATATTGCATAATATTTTCTAAACTTCACATTGTAAGGGTGAGTTTGATGAGCTATAACTCAAAAACGAGCTAAGCAAGCAACAAACGGTAAACAGCTTTGAACTGACGATGAATCAAAGATTAATACAGCTTTTTTAAAATTGGAAAGAAAAGCTTTACATATTGAAAAAAGTCGTAATATTTTTTAAAATTGTCTATAATGGCCCTTGGGACCAAAATTTTTGCCATTTTTATTTCTTCAAAATAAACTTCAGGTCATTTAAAATTGACATGCAAAAAATTAGAAAGGTGTTCTTTCTATAAGTTCCTCATTTTAATGCATACAAAATGGGTTTCCGGGGGGTCGGTACGACCCCAGCTCGCCGTTTCGCCTCTAATGGAGCTAGAACCTTGCGGAAAAAACGAGCATGTGCGCCGTTACAAGATGCATCGAATGATACCACATTTTAAGGTCTCGGGTTCATTGGTGAACCCTGAGGTCATTTCAAGTGACCCAAATTACGGGTCCGGTTTTTGGTAGATAACTTCGCAACAAATGGTCGCAGAGCCGCGATTTTAGCATCTTTGTGTTTGCCTAGCTCCGGCGCGTCGAATGGTATACTGTTTGTTCTGGTGAGGTCAGCATAAGTCGCTGACCTCGGGTCAGCACACTGCCGTGTATTTGGCTCCGCTCCCCGACCGGGCGGCCCAGCCGGCAGCCAGCCCCCGGGCATCACGTGACCGCCCGAGTCCGCGGCAAAGCCAACCAGCGCGGCGCTAGACAAACAGCGCCGCCACAGAGATGGTTAACAGTCGGGTCAGGCCACGAATCTGGGTGAATGAGATCATGTTGCACATCATTCGATTCGCAAGGTCTTCCCGAGTCCATTGGTAGCTTTCCCGTCTCTCTAGTTCAATTTGATCGAGAGTTATTGACGAAAAACTCTTATGACCCTAGTGACGTACGAATGACGTCACGCAAGGTCAACAATGCAAAAGTCAGGCACAAATGACTTCAATTGAACTTTCAGTAACCAGTGATGTCACTAGGCAGCTTTACCACGCCATTTGTAGGCTCTCTTCCCGAAATTACAATTTGAGACCATTACGGTAACGCAAAATAAGTACATTCAGAGAAAGAACACCTTCCTAATTTTTTGCACACTACTTAAAAATGATCCAAAAATGTTTTTAAGAAAATAAAAATTCAAAAAAATTTGGTCCCAAAGGCATAAAAATGAAAATAAAAGGAAGCTCGATGTGTTATATATCAAAAATATTTTACATTTCAAAATTTCAAAAATGCATATTATTCTTTGTTTCAATGCAAGTTCAATGCCGTATAGCATTTGGCATTTGGATTATCCGTCTTAGAGTTACAGCCCGCCAAACTTGGCGCTGCAACGCAAGATCCAAAACATGTTATACACTATAACTCAAAAACTACTCATCTGATAAGCCTGAAATTGTCACAGGAGGATTCAGAGCCCCTGATTACCCCTTAGACCAATTATCCTTAAAATCCGAGAGATGAGGGTGTCAAATTGGAAAAAAGTGGTACGATCTATCGTGGAATGCCCCTACTATCATGGGCTTATTATTTCGTCAACATTTTACCAATTAGGTACGATGTCGTTAAGCTACTAAGGGGCCGGGTACTTTGCATGAGTGGATTGCGCTCTCCCATCCACATGTATTGCATTGCTATTTGTATTGCATTAGTGATGAAATGACAGAATATGCGATATGCATCTTGAATGGTTGTTGAATGTTGAATGTCTTCTAGTTATCTGCATATTTCCTTACCGTTCACCTTGACCTTAACCCGCGCATGACTGGGGGGGGGGGCTCTACAGAGCTTCCCTCCGGTTTTTGGCAATATCTTTCAAATCATTTGACGCATCGACACGAAACTTGCGGTACACTCGGGGGCAGATTGATGTTCTACAACTCTTTATCCACCGGGTTCCTATGGCTCAGCATTGGCAGCAGCCGCCTGGTACCGGTAGACTGTGCCGCTTCACTTACTTGTCAAGCGGCACAGCCTACCCACCCGTATGACACCGGTCTGGGTCGGTGGCTGGAAGGTGATGTGGGCCGCCTGTGACGTCAGCGCAGCGGTGAGGGCCGAGCCCGGAGGCTTGGCTCGGGTCGGCGCGGCGCGGCGGCTGGCGAGGGCTGGGGAGTGAGGTGGGGTGGGAGCATGGACATCGCGCAGCTGAGCGAGTGTAGTTAACTTTCGCGTCTCAAGACGCCAATTATTCTACCTAACAATTGTGCTAAAGCAGTTGTTAAAATGTCCTATCCCCAAGACAGCGCCTATCATCATACTTGCAATGCACATTACGACACACTTAAGCGTGGCAATGGGACAGCCGATAGAACTTGTCACTCGTGCATCGAGGTGGGGTGTCACTCGTGCATCGATATTTTGTATAACCTATTAGTATTAAGGCCTTGATTGAGCAAATTGGTGTCTATTGTTTCGCACGGCAATCGTCCAGAGACGTGGGAACTGGGGGGTTATGAGTAGTGCCGCAGCCAACGCCCCAATTTAAAGCGATTATTACTGTTGCTCTAACATGTGGTCGCAGCCCCCAATAGCAAACCGTTCCAACTAGGAGCCAAAAAGTCGGTCACTCAGGGGGGTTCGAACCGGGTTTCTCCCACCGGCCAATTCACGACACGAGCATTTATCCACTGAGCTACCGAGAATGGTCCTGGTCCGCACAAAACAAAATGACATTCACCCGCTGACCGCCAATGACAGTATTGTGACATTTGATCGCGTTTAACCGCGGCGGGTGGTCGCTGCTTTCGGCAGTTCAGTGGATACACGCTAGCGTCGTAGGGTGACCGGTTGGAGAAACCCGGTTCGAACCGTCCCAGGTGCGCGACTTATTTGTTCCTAGATGGAACGGTTTGCTATTGGTGGCTGCGACCACACATTAGAGGAACAGTAAGAGTTTTAAAGTTGGGACGCCGCGCTATCCAAAAACCCCAGTTCCCACGTCTCTGAACGATTGCTGTGCGAAATACTTGACACCAATGAGCTCAATCAAGGCCTTAATACTTATCTGTTAAAAACAATGTAGCTCCGCAACTCGATGCACGCGTGATATAAATTCTATCGGATGTCCCAATGCCACGTTTAAGTGTGTCGTAATGTGCATGGCAAGTATGATGATAGGCGCTGTCTTGGGGATAGGACATTTTAACAACTGCTTTAGCACAATTGTTAGGTAGAATAATTGGCGCCTTGAGACGCGAGAGTTAACTACACTCGCTCAGCCGCGCGATGGTCCGTGCTCCCACCCCACCTCACTCCCCAGCCCTCGCCAGCCGCCACGCCGCGCCGACCCGAGCCATGCCTCCGGGCTCGGCCCTCACCGCTGCGCTGACGTCACAGGCGGCCCACATCGCCTTCCAGCCACCGACCCAGACCGGTGGCATACGGTGTGGGTAGGCTGTGCCGCTTGACAAGTAAGTGAAGCGGCACAGTCTACCGGTACCAGGCGGCTGCTGCCAATGCTGAGCCATAGGAACCCGGTGGATAAAGAGTTGTAGAACATCAATCTGCCCCCGAGTGTACCTTCAGCGGCATCAATTGGACACCTTATGTCTAAAGTCTAATTTTCCAGCTACCTTACGTCGGCTGAAAATGACGTCAGAGTGACGTCATGTCGGCCGATTTTTGTGCAAAACATTGGCCTACGGCAATGGCTCTCAAGAGCTCAATTTTAAGCTACATCTAATTTCTTTGCATGAGTGGACTTAAAGGGACTATCCCACCTTCTAAAATGTTGTTAAAACCAGTTAAATTGTGCCCGACTTTATAGATTGGATGACCATGAACACGGTTCTGGCATTTATTTTTCATTAACCCTATTAGTGGCAGGGGGGGGGGTTGTTTTTATCCACCCCTCAGGTTTTTCGGGAATATCTCCGAAACCGCTGAAGCTACGATGCTGAAATTTTCTGACTTTTCCTAAAACAAAATTGGGCACATTCCCTGAAAATTTCAAGTTCATAACTTTACCAGGGGCGGCTCCAGAGCACTGGGAATTGGGGGGTCCTATTCGTGAAGCGAGTCATTTGGGCGAAGATCACGACGCTGCACCAGTTTTACGAACAGTGAATGAAAGGTATCATGTGATAACATATACAGTTATCGTGCATCCTCTTTTGACACGTTTTTGCTATAATAGGCGGATCCAGGCGTCCAAAAAGGGGGGTTATGTTTTACCTCCCAACATAGGTGCCCTGACACCGCCTATGCATGACCAATACAATTGTAGTCGTTCTCTCATAAGAAAATTGTAACATAACAAGACCATTACCACCCTTTTTAGAAACAGTACTAACAAAAACCTTATTTACTATACTTTTTGTGTACCCCCAATCTCAATGATCTGTATTCTGTATCCGCCTATGATTTTTGAAAATGCATATTTTTAGGATCCATGTGAATTCCTGGTTCATTCTCTATCGATCGGCAAAAGTTGCGTTAAGATTGGTTCAGAAACCTGGCCGTGATAAACAGTCTAAAATGTATCTGCAATTTGCCCGTTTTTACCCCCCTCTACCCCCCCCCCCCTATTGACATTTTTTAATTTTTATTTTTTTAGAAATGAAGATCACGTTGAGCGAAATCGAATGCCGTTTGAATTTTGAAAATCGGCCCGTTAGATCTCGAGATATCAAGGGGGGGTCGTAAACAGCCCCCCCTGCCACTAATAGGGGGTAGCCAGGAGCCTGCCACTAATAGGGTTAAACATCTTAGGCTTCCCATATTCCAAACACAAACTTTCAAATATGTGACGTCACAGCCCAAAATTACCTCCTTTCCAAGGCCACATTACTGTCATAAAGCTGATTCTTTTTACTCTGTAGGCACCACAACAAAGTTCAGACCAAGTTTTAAGCGATTTTTCAACGAACAAACCCATTTAAATCAGAATGACTAAACGAGGTGACGTCACACTAACGGTCGCTCCATGTTGAAGCTAGAGCCTTGTACAAGGCCCATTTTCAAATGAAGGGAACGAATTTCTTCAACACCAAGAGGCCGCGGGGGTTGCAACCTAGATAGATAGTGGTTTCTGAACCTCGCCGCAAACTTGGCTATCTCAACTCAAACCCCATGTTAAAGGTGGGATAGTCCCTTTAAAATAAATGTGGCTATCAAACCGTTCTCTCGAATTTTCACAACTTTGAAAATTTCGAAAAGCATACGTGTAAAATTACAACAAAAAAAAAAAACATTTTTCTTTCATTATTTAAACTTTTTGACCTTTCGAAAAACCAGGAATATATGTAATAGACCACCAACCGATGACCTACTCTAGAAGGTTTTAGCCCAAAATCGTTCAAAAATGGCCAAGTTATACGCATTATAAAATTTACAATTATACATTTTTCAAATCCATTTTTCAGTGCGTTTTTGACATCGTACAACAATATATTTTTGATCTGAAAGTGACCTGACCTCAGGCACATTCAGCTGAAAATGACCTCAAATTGCACAGACGACACTGCTTTCGAAATATTTGAGTAAAATGGACCATAAAACATGCGTCACGCGACCGATGCCTGATATAAGAGCCTGATTTGCCATGTTGGCCGGCGGCCAGAGCCTCAATTGTGAATAAGCGAAAATGTTGATAATTTTTACTTTGACCTGACCTGTGACGTCATCGGTGACTTCGAGGTCAATGAAATTAGGTTTCGCGCGATAGTGTTTCCAGGGCTATTAGCCGCCTCTCGAATTTTGACAATCAGCCCAGTAGTTTCGGATATAGGTAGGAGGGAGGGGGGGGGGGGGGGCTCTGTAGATAAATACCCCTGCAATGTAGCTCTGGAAAATACCCCACTCATGCGCGGGTTAATGAACTGGTACCCGTATCAAGGTAGTGTATTTTTTCTTGTTGCTATTAGTGACAAATATGATTCATATGTTCACAGAGTTTGATGATCTTGGGAATGCTTGTTTTCTTACCAAATTCATTCAAATTGCAGCTGCAAAATCTGATTTTGAGGCGTATTTTTCCTTATAGGCAATCATGCATTACCTTTATTTGGTAATCGGGAACGCATCTGATTGGCTTGTCTGACATATTGGATTGTCGACATTCGTATCAGCTTGAAAGCCTTTTGAGAAAGATTTGTTATAAGCAGACGCAATAAGATTTGCAGTTAGTCGCTACGGCTTTAGTGTTTCCTGCTCCTTGTTCATCAATTGCTGAAATGATACATGTTACCAAATGGCTCAAAGATAGCTCGCGCAGTTAGGCTGCTGGAGCACTTTGCTGAAATAGCCATTTCTATTCTAGCCGCTCGCGACAAATGCCGTCGAACCGACGTCAGCGGTGGCAGGCACCTAGACGAGCTGGATGAGCTGGCCCTAGCCTTCCACGGTGAGTTGAATTGCCCAACTAAAACAAATTCGGCACTCACTGTCAAGGTACAAATCGCAATAGTCCTTGGTGGTTATAGGTGGTGGAAGATCAAACAGACTCCCCCCCCCCTTCGGGCTTTCGCGAATATCTCGCGAAAAAAAAAACAGCCGATCACTACGAAACTTACAGTACCCTCGAGCTGATCAGTGTTACATCTACCGTAAGGTGGGGCTATTTGAGACAGTAAGGCTATTTGAGACAGTATTTAAAATTGCTATAAAACCAGTATAGCGCCTTTTGGGGCGACTAACGGAGCGAGCGAGAGGGTGAGCCTTGCACGTGCGAAATTTCGAGAGGGTATCTCCAACTGACTTGTGCACGGCACCCTACTAACCGGTCTCTAGCGATGTGCCAAATTTGAGCACAATCGGCCCAGCCGTTCTTGAGATCTGGAAGCGGCACCTTGCACGTGCGCACGTGCAGAATGGGTCCCAACCGACTTGTGCACGGCACCCTACTAACTGGTCCCTAGCCGTGTACCAAATTTGAGCGCCATCGCTCCAGCCGTTCTCGAGATCTGGAAACGACCCCTGCACGTGCGCACGTGCAGCAGCACCCCAACTCTGGCACATGGATATGCAGTGCCTAGTGGGTGCCTACCTACATGCCAACTTTCAGCACAATCGGCCAAGTAGTTACCGAGATATTGCAACAATTACAAAACTGACACCTCTTCGTTTTGCGCGTGGCACGTGCATAAGGGGTCACCCACATGCATCGGGAATAGTCCAATACTTGGTAGAAGGAATGAAGCTACCCTACAAAAATTACCGCGTGTAAATCGGTCAAGTGGTTGCTGAGATATAAGCCTCGCAAAAGCGTCCGCACGGCCGACCGGCCGGCCGCTCATACTCAGAAATTTCCGTTAATCTAAGGAAAGACTACGCTCGCTTCGCTCGCTCCGTAATAACCAGTATAACGCCTTATGGGGCGACTAACGGAGCGAGCGAGAGGGTGGGCCTTGCACGTGCGAAATTGCGAGGGGGTACCTCCAACTGACTTGTGTACGGCACCCTACTAACCGGTCTCTAGCGATTTGCCAAATTTGAGCACAATCGGCCCAGCCGTTCTCGAGATCTGGGAGCGGCACCCTGCACGTGCGCACGTGCAAAATGGGTCCCGACTGGCTTTTGCACGGCACCCTACTAACCGGTCCCTAACTGTGTACCAAATTTGAGCGCAATCGGTCCAGCCGTTCTCGAGATCTGGAAACGACCCCTGCACGTGCGCACGTGCAGCAGCACCCCAACTCTGGCACATGGATATGCAGTGCCTAGTGGGTGCCTACCTACATGCCAACTTTCAGCGCAATCGGCCAAGTAGTTACCGAAATATTGCAACAATTGCAAAACTGACACCTCTTCGTTTTGCACGTGGCACGTGCATAAGGGGTCACTCACATGCATCGGGAATAGTCCAATACTTGGTAGAAGGAATGAAGCTACCCTATAAAAATTACCGCGTGTAAATCGGTCAAGTGGTTGCTGAGATATAAGCCTCGCAAAAGCGTCCGCACGGCCGGCCGGCCGGCCGGCCGGCCGCTCATACTCAGAAATTTCCGTTATTCTACGTAAGACTCCGCTCGCTTCGCTCGCTCCGTAAAAACCACTTAAAATTTATGCTTAATTTTTTGCTCAGGCGATTTACTGCCCGATTCCACACCTCCCCGAACAAAAATATCACACCAAAATCAAACGATCTTCATTTTGAAGCGATTTTAAATACTGTCTTAAATAGCCCCACTGTCTCAAATAGCCCCACTTTACGGTACCCTAAAACTCGCATGATCCTGACCCAAATCACCGGCTTCCTTTCGTAACGGGCATACACTCATCATGATCCGCGAAGCTGTGGCTCGAACGACAGGGATCCAACGGACACCCTTCCTATACGTGATGCTGCCAAACGCCAATACGAGTGAGGCCTAAGCGTGATTCAAAAGGTGCGAAAATACAGCAGAGTATTGTTATGGCTTTTAATTGTGTTTTCTCACAGGATCTGAGGCGGACAATGCGGTCAAACCCGGCGCTGTGTCATCGCTGGGGCCTAGCCCCAGCCAGGAACCAGCAGCACCAGCAGCAGAGCCAGAGAGCCACGAGCTCTACCCGGTGATTGATTGTGAAGACGGTGGGGTGGAAAGCCAGGGTACTGGTGTGGAGGGAGAGAGGGTCATTGGGGAGGAAGAGAGGGTCATTGAGGAGGTCGACGTGGGGACAGGCCACGGGCGCGGGGCGCCGGAGAGGCAGCCAACGGCATCGGGGAGTCGGGAAGAGGCGCGGGCTGCGTTTGAGGAGCTGATGTCGCGGGACGAGTCCGAGTTGTTGGACCATGAACGCCCCAAGGTAAAAGCCATCTTGCAAAACATGCTTCTTCGCGAGCTTCTTGTGAAGGTCCAGCGCGACGATACCTTTTCGTTCCTGCTAACTCAGTAGAGCTGACCCCGTAATGAGGGTCCAGCGCGACGACACCTTTCCGTTTCTGCTAACTCAGTAGAGCTGACCCCATAATGAGGGTCCAGCGCGACGACACCTTTCCGTTCCTGCTAACTCAGTAGAGCTGACCCCGTAAGGCGTACGTGAATGGTGGAGTAGGTGCGCAATGTTTGTTGCTTGAGTAAATGAGACGCGTTCAAATGTTGGTGTTAAGCCATGTTGTGGAAATACGTGTGCCAATCGTTAACAGGTTAGCTTCTTTTTTACTCTTTGTCTTGTTTTCAGAGTGTTAAATAAATAAACATGCTTTTTACCAACGCGAATACATAACCTCCCTGCCAACATTGTATTAATAAGTAAGAGGTCGTCATCAGTGTTTCGGAATTACCGTCATTTCTGCGACATCGAGCTATATAGACGCCAAGCAAAGCACTGCCGTATCCGATTAAAGGGACACTCCCACCTTCAAAAAAGTTAATGAATTGGCATGAAAGTGATGTCGCTCGGTTCAGAAAGAGCAAAAACGAATATCTACCAAATTTCATCGAAAAATATTCACCGGTTTTCAAGATATTAGACTTTTACTTTTGTTTACTTTTTGGGATCTCCGCTGTTCCTAGCGACTTTATTTGAAAGTGCGGCATTTGTTGCGCGCAAAGCAGCATATACCACCGCGTGCTTCAAAACGTTTTAGTCAAACATTTAACGGACGTTCGAAAGCCTGATGACGTCATCAGATTCCGGTAATGGTTAAGAGATAGGGACCACGCTGGTCCCACCCTGCATGTAAAGGGAAGAAATTTCTTGAACACCATAAAGCTGCGGGGGTTGCGACCAGGATAAATGGTGGTTTCTGAGCCTGGCCGCAAACTTGGCTATCTCAACTCAAAACTAATGTTAAGGTGGGAGGGTCCCTTTAATATTAACTCCGATATCGACTCGGCTTCCGAAGCACTATATTCGACATAGCGAGTAAGTGGCGAATGTTGTCATTTGTCATGCACGCACAGGCCACACAGCCTGCCCAGTACCCAGTGCTCAGTCTCCAAATGTCAGCTGCGCGATGCTGTCCCGCACCGCCATGCCGCCGTGACCCTCACCAGCTACTTGGCTGGCTGCGGGACGGGCGGGCAGAGGAAAACTCAAATAGCTCACTGCTCAACCACAAGCAGCTAAAAGTGAGCAGAACGCAGTATATTCAACAGGCCTAGCCGATCAATTCCGCAGTTTCAAAGATCTAGGTACTTAATAAGCCTCTCAGAAACGCCGCGCTATTATCACAGCCCAGTGCTTAAACAAGTGACACGTGTCGTGCTGGTTACCGATACGGATCGGAAGTAGTTAAGCTCATGATTTAAGAGGTGAATCTAAGTGATTAAGACCTGCTAGTCGATCGGACACGCGGTTGCCGAGATACAAGGCTGCAAAAAGCGTCAGGGGACCGGGTAAGGCTATGCCGGACCACTCACACAACGTTTCAGTTTAAAACATAAAAAATGCTCACTCAGTTGACGCAAAATACAGCACATATATGCAAGAACTATACCAGTGCTCCTCCAATATATCAAGCCAAAAGTAGTGAGTGTCAAAAAATGTCATAGGCAGTTAAAGTCATATTCATGTCTGAAATTCGTTTTCTTTAAAAGTGCATAAAAGCTATTAAGTGGAATTACGAGGGGATTGAGTACAACTTTCAACGGAAGTGTTGTAAAAACACGTTAAAAACAGCTTTGGTGGCCATTTTTAAACTATATGTTGCACTGTTCGCTAAAACGATTTGCAACGTATGAATAAGTACAAAAAATACTACGAAAACCCGTCACGACCCCTAGGTACTGGTTGAACTGACCTTACCTGACCCGACCTGGTTTAAATGCTTAAATACACCATCTGTGATCAAAACTAACACGATATTCGTGATCAGCACCCCGAAAAACCTCACAACAGCCACACTTTACCGACTTTCTAACAGGTCACGATTTCCCCGACTTTTGGGTCATTGACCTTACCTGAAAGGTCAAAAAATGACCTAGGACCTTAAAATTGGGTATCATCAGCTTCGTCTCGTGACGGGCAACACGCTCATTTTTTCCGCGAAGCTCTAGCTCGATCAGGGGCCAAACGGCAAGGCGGGGGTACATCCGACCCTCCCCCCCCCCTACACGTTAGAAGCTGGCAAACGCCGCACAGAGGCGAGGATTAAACGATGAAACGATTCGCAACGTATGGATAAGTACAAAGTTCAAAACACTGTAATTACATGCTAGAACGTTTATTAAACAGACAAAAGGTACATAAGAAGCAGTCTACTGAGCCTGTGAAATCGTTCTCAGAGTTTCAGAAGGACATGAGCCCTGGTCAATTAGAGGGTGACAGTGCAGGTCGATGGGAAGTGGCGTGCCAGTGCGTTGGCCTCCATGAAGGCGCACGAGTAGAGGCCATAGCCAGCCCAGCATTCAATGAACTCCACGGTCGAGACAGAGGCTGCCGCGTCGCTCGGTCCGCAGACGTCCAGCAACAGGTTCCAGCTGAGGGTGGGCGCCAGGTCGCTATCTCCCGGGATGCTGTTGATGGCGCTGCTCAGGCTGTCAAAGTCGACAGTGCCGTCCATCGCCTGGAAGTCCTGCAGCAGACAACTGATCCTGCCGACGGCCGCGTCGTAATCGTCGCTGATGGAGGCCACGGAATCGGTGCACTCTGCCCAAGTACGGCTGGTGAGCTGACCGAAGGCGTCCACAATAACGGTGGGGCTCATCGGGCAGTGTCCATTGAGGAAAGAGACAATGCGCTGCCTTCCCTCATTATCCAGCCGCTGCTCTTCAATCAGGGTATCGTCGCAGGAGACGGCGAAGCACCACTTCATGCAGGCGTACGCGTAGACAGCCTGCTGGCGAGGCGTAAGATCGGCGGTTGACCTACGGATGCAGTGGGTAAACATGTCCTCCTCGGTGATGGACCACTTGGGGTCGTCCGAGTAGCCATCGGTCTTGTCCTGGAAGGCGTCGAGGTCGAACGACGTTCCGGCAGCATCAAGCTCGCCCACGCTGTAACGTCCACCATGGCATTAGATGAACCGATCCCAGTTCAAATGAGAATGTATGTTATAATTCGCTATATTCTCAGAGTACTAATATTTCGATAGATTATCCTGCTGAAATTTATCATGACAGCCACCTTTAGATGCTAAGATTGCTCATTGTCTTCACTATTTCTCCATGGTGACGACTCAGTTCGATATACCAGGACGGAATTTTCAAGCAAGGAATGGTCAGCTGTCCAGCATGCGGGAGAGACCTCTTAAAGGGACCCTCCCACCTTAACATTAGATTTGAGTTGAGATAGCCAAAATGGGGTCCCTGGCTCACAATTACCGGTTTCGGCACTCACAACATCGAGAAATGCCTTAAATCGGAAATATTGAATTTCAAAATTGCAGCATTTTGATTCAGAGGGGCTAATGCATAGGAATACCCCTCTGAATGTGTGACGTCATCGCAGATATCTAACGATTTTTAAATGTTTGACTAAGTTTTGTAGCACGCGGTGGTATATGCTGCTTTGCGCGCAACAAATGCCGCACTTTTAAATAAAGTCGCTAGGAACAGCGGAGATCCCAAAAAGTAAACAAAAGTAAAAGTCTAATATCTTGAAAACCGGTGAATATTTTTCGATGAAATTTGGTAGTTAGATATTGGTTTTCGCTCTTTCTGAACCGAGCGACATCACTTTCATGCCAATTCATTAACTTTTTTGAAGGTGGGAGGGTCCCTTTAATTCAAGCGAAAAGGCAAAAGTAGGTGTAATTTGCTCACCTGTTGGCAATGCACAAAAAGTACAGGGCGCTGAACTCGACACCGTCACAGTCAGTTCCGAGTCCGCCGGCCTTGACCTTGCTCTCGCAGCCTTCCAGAATCTCCTTCAGCTCCTGATGGCCTTCCTTGGTCCAGTCGAAGCCCTCTGGCTCGCACTGGCGCACATGCAGCATCTCAAACGAGTCGACCACCTCGTCCGTAACGAACGGTGCGTTGTCGATGGTCACGTCTGTTGGAATAGGAAACATGTTCATGACAGTCATCGGTTGTGCAGTTTTAGGACGTGGCATGTCTTCTATTGAACTCGGAGTCAAGCGTCTAGTCTTCTAGTTCACGAAGCAGCGTTGTGATGATCACAATATACTACCCAAGCTTGCGGTGTCTATTACTATGTCCACCACTCGTATCTGGTGTGACGGCTGACGTATGGTGCTTACCCATCCGAGTCTGAGAGAGGACCCTCTTGCTTGGGCCGGCCTGACTGCCGGCGATTGCCAGCAGGACGGCGCCAATGCCGAGACTCAGTTGCATCAGGACGGCCATGGCGATGCTGTTGATCGAATGAAGGATCGATGCTCTGTGCCCCTCGATTGCCGGACCACAGCCGACGTCGACACAGGACCGAGTCACATGGGGCGTAGCTCCGCCCATGTCACCACCACCAATCTTTCCATCAAAACAAATCCCGTCTCCAACAAGTGACAATCCAGATAACGTTGGTAGTTCAAATGTTCATACACATGTGGCTGAGAGCCAGGCTCAGCGCGACACACAAGTGCCAGCGGAGTGGAAAAATTTGCTCGGTTCCTACTCACACCATACCTATACACACATATATGTATTATGCACTCACCACTAAAGCAATGATGAACAATGAACGGCTACATGTTCTGCCTGCACTAGGTTACAGGCAATGTGCGGAATCGGACATTCTACAGAACATCGGCATTCTAAAAAAGCCTGATCGACCAGGCATTCAAAAGAGTAACTATTGGAATTCTGTTGAAAGCCTGGTCGTCCGTCAAGTATGTAATGCTCTTATTTAACCCGCGCCCTGCTGGGGGTCCTGGATTTCCACGCCCTGCTGGGGGGGGGGGGTGTTTGAACACCCCCCCTTGTAACTCGGCTCCTGGGCCACGTAGCGATACGCGGAAGGCGGCGTTCGAAAGAGCGTAAAAAATAATGACGAAATCACTTCGGTCAATTTCTTGGTCAGGTCAAAGGTCAGGTCACCAGAGGTCATTGAAGGCAAAATTTCGCCAATTTCCAGGTCCAATGTCGAAAATTTCCAAGAAGCCAACGCATAACTCGGGAACCAATAGAGCTACAGCGCCGCAGAAAAGCGCATTCGATAGCCCTATTAACGCCCTTTCTGAGTAATTCTCTCAGATTTGACCTAACGTCAACGGTTTTGCCTGCAGGGGGCAAAAACTGCAAAAATAACCGATTTTTTCGAAAACAGTTTTTCTGCAATAACTTTTGACCCAAGCCCTGTACGAGCTTACTTTTACCGGCATCGTGTTCCTCTCG